TTAGCTTCACTTGTTTAGGTATTGAGTTGGAGATTACTGTGTGTACATAAAGAGAAGTTTGGATGTTGCAAGAGAAGAAGGAGCTTTTACTAAAAAAGGGCATAAGAGGAAGATTTGGATTCTTCATTTTCAGTTTTTTCTTTTCTTTGTTACTTTTAGGAATTAGTGAAACCAGGAAGAAAGTGAACTATCTTTGTCATTTCAATTCTTCTCTCTTTTTTTTTTTCACAACATTTCATCAATAAAATTATATAATTTTACAAGTTATAGCTTTTATTTTCTTACATTCAGTCCAAAGTCATACATTAATCCTATTCCCTATATAAATTGGTTGTGGAAATAGATGAGTTTTGTGATATATTTGACCTGTTCTTCAAAATTTAGCTATTAATTTTAAATCTATTTTAAACATTATTTGGCTGATGTTTTTTAACCGTCAACAAAAAATAAATGAGATATGTATGTGATTGATTGCAAAGTTGGTTTTATTCATAATTTAGTCGTTACTACAAACATAGAAGATACGGATTTAATTAGAGATTGATTTGGTTTGTAATACAAGTTACTGTTGTTAATGCTCTGTTCTTATTATGTGTTAATTGCCCTTTTTTCAAGGGATTGAAAAGAAAAGAGAATCTAATATGCCCCATTTAAAGCTGTCTTTAATCAATTTAATTTTCTTGTTAAAAGGAAAATACTGTAATTATTAACATAACGCCCAAAAAACAACCCAAAAATAATACTAATAAATTAGTATTATTTTGGATTTTGGAAGGTAATGATCTTTTTGGTCGTTAGCCGGTGCTATCCTGCGCCAGTTTTAGTCGGTGCCCTATATTCGTGGTTAACTGACACGTATTTATTTAGCTTTTGTGGATAATATTTCTTTGGTCGTCTTCAACTTCTAAGCTATTTGACTAAAATATCACAAAAAAAAAAAGTGACAAAAATCTCTCATTTGTGATTTTGACAAAACACAGATTTTTTTCTTTTCTAGTGTAAACCTTTTGACCTTGGAGAGTTAGATTAAAAACTGTATTGACTTTATTAAAACCAATAAAGTACGTTTGGAGAAAATATTGGTACACTATAAATTCCCATAATTAATATAGCCGTTAGGGAGTTACCGAATACGAAAACTGCAAGCCGCGTCTACATAAAAGAATCAAACACCGTGTCGTTTTCTCCGCACCGTCTTCCTTCTTCAATTGCCTTTTCCCGCAAACATGTCTGCCGTTTTTGTGGACCACATACGACATGTGTGTAGTTGAGTAGACATGATAGTCATAGTGGTAGGAATAAGAAACCATAGTCCAAACCGAACCGAACCGAAATG